TTATTTATTTATTTATTTATATTTACATTTATATCCCACCCTCTCCGTCATTCGGCAGGCTCAGGGCGGCTAACAGCATATACAAAAATACATTAAAATTCCGTTAAAACTGTCAATGTAAAATCATACAACTTACATTAAAAGATGGCGAGTCTTCCGATATCGGCTGTCAACTGAACACTGTCCACCGCCTCACACCCAGCTATAAAGCCTCGGTTAGTGCCACCGTTGGTACTGTCGGTGCCAATAGTGGTACAGTTGTTGGCACAGCTTGGTAATCAAGCCAGGGCCAGTTGTTGACACAGTTGGTAATCAGGCCAGGGCCAGGGCCATGTGATTGAGGCAGCACCCTACTTAAAAGCCTGGCGGAAGAGCTCCATTTTGCAGGCCCTGCGGAACTGTAAAAGGTCCCGCAGGGTCCTGATGTCTTCTGGGAGCTCGTTCCACCAGTGAGGGGCCGCCACAGAGAAGGCCCTGGCTCTCTTTGTCACCAACCTGGCCTCTTTAGGCCCCGGAAGAACCAGGCGATTTTGGGAGCCCGCTCTTAGTGCTCGCTGGGGTACATGTGGGGAAAGGCGGTCCCTTAGGTAAGCAGGTCCCTGGCCATATAGGGCTTTAAAGGTAAGAACCAGCACCTTGAACCGTATCCGGTATGCTATAGGCAGCCAGTGCAGGGTTTTTAGGGCGGGCTGGATGCGTTCCCGCAGAGGAAGACACAACAACAGCCTCGCCGCTGCATTCTGCACCGGCTGCAGCTTCCGGATTTGGGACAAGGGCAGCCCCATGTAGAGAGCATTACATTTGGGCTTGACTGTACTCCACAAAGTCAATGTGAGTTTTAATATTAAAAGGGGAGAAAAGAAGGGCTTGAGACTGAAAAGGAATTTGTGGCAGAGAGGAGATTCAACCCCAAAAATTCATAGTGCCACTTCTAAGCACTCTAATTCTGCTTAGAATGGCGCTGCTAGTCTCTTGGCCACTGTACTGTATTTGCTCCCTGCTTGATGCAAAATTACAATCATTCTAAAGAGTACTGGTCTGCAAATACACAGACTCCAATAAAATACAGGTCAAGCAATAAAAAAAAAGAATACAATTTCTCAGGCAGTCTATTCTGTATTAAAAACACAGCAATAAAATGGTAACTCACCTTGGCAAGTGTTCCTTCAACACAATAGCCTGCTATGATGACGCCATTCCTTTTATCCGTACACCAGCTCTCAAAAAGCTCTCGGGATAGGCCGCTCTGCATCATACCAGGGGAAGCCATCACAACACTGGGGCCGATGTCATCAAAGTGATCCATACTCTATGCAACAAGAGAAAACATATTAACTCAGTTGATAAAGCCCGATCAAGGGATCCTAGTCAATCAGTGCATCCTCTATGGGACCACGCTTACTGTACAGAGGGTTTGTAGTGGTCTTTGTTTATACTATACTCCTTGGGGTCAGCGAACTCTAAATATTTTCAAGAAGACATTGTTTAAATGTGGTCCATAATTAATACGCGGTATGGTACAAGATGATGAAACTTTAACTGCAACTGTGAGGCCGGTTCTGGTTGCCAGTTAATCGAGCATGCCAGATACTCAAACTTATTGCTTGGCCCCTATCCCCTAACCAGAGGAATCCACGGCAACCGCCGCCTCATCTGAAATGCCGTGGTGACAGACCTTGTGCCTGGTGGGACCCTTCCACTTCCTCTCACGCCACAGAGCCATTCTGTGACAGCCTTAGAAACTGTTCATCATGGTCAATGTGCATTTGTAGTTCACTTTCGATACATACTGGAAGCTGACTACTCTGGGATACTGAAATGCCACACATGTGGCACGTTGGGCGGTCGGCAGCAGGAGCCTCAACAAGTGTTAGCAGTGCCATCTCGCTACTGTTTCCCATGGACAGAACCTAGCACACTCCTCCTCCCACCAATCACCTTTGAACAGATGAAGACAGTCTACAATGACTGATTAGATGGATTGGAACATGTCACAAGTAAAACATTTGGCTAGTAATTTCTGCAGTAATTAGTCATAAAGAGCAAACAGAGAATGAATAGGGTGGATCCGGACATTCTTCAAAGAATCTTCCTCTAGCCTAAGAAGCCTGCTGAAGAGCCACTCAAATCAGTGCAGAGTTTGCAGAGCTTCTGTCCACCATCTTCAAGATGTTTTAGAGGATGGGAGATTTCCCACAAGACTGGAGAAGGGTGAACACTTATCCCAATCTTCAAAAAAGGGAGGAAGGATGACCCAGGAAACTACAGGCCAGTCAGTCTGACCTCTGTCCCAAGGAAGATACTGAAGCAGATTTTAAAGGGGTCAGTCTGGGAGCATCCGAAGGACAACTTGGTGATATGGTGAAGTCAGCATGAATTTGCCTCCAGCAACCCAGGCTAGCCCAATCTCGTCAGATCTCGAAAGCTAAGCAAGGTCAGCCCTGGATAGTATATTTGGATGGGCAACCTCCAAGGAAAACCGGGGCGTGACGCAGAAGCAGGCAACCGCCTCTGAAACGTTTCTTGCCTTAAAAACAAGTCTAGCTCGCCACCTAGTGGTGCATAATGCTAAAAGAGCTAAAACTTCAATCTGCCAGCCAATCTTAGGAGCTCCTGGCTATACTACACATACAGCCATATGATAATCATTAACTATTATTGCCCCCAACAGGTCCTGCCAGACCAACTTCATTTCCTTCTTTGATGTAGTGATGGGCTTACTGGATCATGGGAATGCTGTGAACATTGTTTACCTGGATTTCAATAAAGCTTTTGATAGGGTTCCCCATGATGTTCTGATGGGTAAACTGGAGGACTGTGGACTGGACTCTAGGGTAGTTAGGTGGATAGGGAACTGGTTGGAGAACCACACTCAGAGAGTAGTTGTCAAAGGCATTTCATCTGATTGGAGGCAAGCATCCAGTGGAGTACCACAGGACTCGGTTCTGGGCCCAGAACTTTTCAATATTTTTCTAATAACTGAACTGGATGAGGGGGGTGAAGGGACTACTCATTAAATTTGCAGATTGCACTAAATTAGGAGGGATAGCGAACACACCAGAAGATAGAGCTAGAATTCAACGAGATCTGAACACACTAGAAAAGTGGGCAGATGTGAATAAGATGCAATTTAACAAGGATAAGTGCCAAATTCTACATCTGGGTAACAAAATGAGAAGCATGCATATTGGATGAGGGACACACTTCTAGGCAGCAGAGTCTAACTATGGGCATGATTCAGCAGCAAAAAAGGCTAATGTGGTCTATCAATATAGGCATAACATCCAAATCACGAGAGCCAAACTAAACCAATTCTTTTATTATGGAAGAAATTAAAGCTTTAACCTTAAATTGTAGAGGTTTGAATAATAAAATCAAAGCAAGGAGAATAGCTAAGGATATGAAACAACAAGGTATTAACATCATATTCCTTCAGGAAATCTTTTTGAAGAGTGGTGAGAGGGCTCTACCATCTAAGTGGTATTCTTCCCAACTGATAGCACATGGAACATCAAAGGCGAGAGGAGTGGCGATTCTTATCTCAGCCAACATGAACTTTAAGTTAGATTCGAGGAGATATATGTTAGTTTCCTGCATTGTGCAGGAGGTTGGACTAGATGACCCTGGAGATCCCTTCCACCTCTATGATTCTATGAGAAAAGCCTGAGGGACTTAGGAGGAAGTTGAGGGGAGGGGCGTGATCACTCTCTGAGTATTTGAAGGGCCGTCACTTAGAGGAGGGCAGGGAGCTCTTCCTGTTGGCAGGAGGGGACAGGACGTGCAATAATGGGTTTAAATTACAGGTGGAAAGGTACTGTCTGGATATTAGGAATATTTTTTTACAGTAACAGTAGTTCAACACTGGAGTCGGCTGCTTTAGGCTGATCCTGCAGGGATCCTTCCAACTCTATGACTATGATTCTATGGCTTATGGCTACTTATTCCAGAGATAGGTTTCAAACTTCGCTCAGTGGAATTGGGGGAAAGCCGACAGGAGATGAAAAGTCTCTGGTTCGGGTTGGCTCATCTCAGAGATGAGGGGGTACCTGTTGCTTTTCTACAGGGAGGTGGATTGAAATTGTCCACTGAGACCATGGCTAGTGACATGGACTGCCTAACAAGGTCTCGAGATAGGTATAGATAGGGGCTCTGGGGCAAGTGATGCTCTGTCTTCTTGGTGCTTGGGGGGGGGTCAACAGTGGGAGGGCTTCTAATGTCCTGGCCCCACTGGCGGACCTCCTGATGGCACCTGGTATTTCTGGCCACTGTGTGACACAGTGTGTTGGACTGGATGGGCCTTTGGCCTGATCCAACATTGGCGTCTCTTATGTTCTTACTATGTCCTACAGAACAATACAAAGTTGTAGTGCTGAATTTTTCTGAAAGGTTTTAAAATTCTATTTTAAACAATTCTATTTTAAACCATACTGTAAATTCTTGTGACGTTTTCCAGTTAAAGAAATTCTTAATATGAGTTTTAACCAATTTAATAAATGTGAACTGATTTGCAAATTAATAAAACAATGCTACTTGCTTGGAAAACAACCAAAATGTATACTTGGTTTTTAGGTTATGCATGAACCATGTCACAGTAGACACCACCTGAGGACTCTTTTGTAAGAGAGAGAAAAAGGGAAATGCTTTTTCTAAGATGTCTGCTACCTACGTATTTTGTAAAATACTGAATCAAAACTTTACTTTAAAAAACCTGCTTCCTGATTAACTGGGGCACCTGTTTAATTTACCCAACGTTTTTAGTCTGTTAATCTGAACAATTAATTTATTGATTAAATGTTGCCACCACAATATTAGAACATCCTTTATACACACTCACCTTCAGATTACTAATGTGTTTGAATACAAAGGGGTTGTTGATGTTGATCTGCTTGCGGATTTTATCATTCATGGCATTGACATAGGTCTGATACACTGCCATGCACTTCTTTGCCAGAGAGGAAGCGTAGTATATAGGGATGTCATGGAGTTCAGGGTGATTCTGCCAGTATTCATCTAGATAAAGACATCCAAGTCAATTTTTATAAATTGTACCAAAACCACTCTGAACTCTGGAAAGAAAAATAAAGCTCTTTGGGAAGTTATTCTATAATGGAACAGATATGCTGAGATCCTAAGTATCTACATGGGTCCCCCAACTTCTCACATCCCTTTCATAAGGCTCACCAGCACCTGCTGGGGTAAGAGGGAGGTGGGAAACATCCGCCCCACCAGCACATAGTCCAGCCCAAAGCTTGTTGTCTTAATTTCAGACATAAAAAGGAACAAACAGGCAGAATCTGGGACAGAAAGCAGCGGGCGTGACAAGCATTATGAACAAACAAGTGGCTTAAAATAAAATCCTTTCTTCCTTTGCTAGAAAACTAGATAGAAGAAGCTTTGCCTAGTCGGCAATAAGCACAACTTTATTTTCTGTAAAATAATAAGAGTTACCAGAAGTAATGGAGGAAAAGGCTCCTTTAAACCAGCAGTAAAGGGTCACAGAGGAGACATGTCGGGATCACGAATTTCCCATCAGCTACTAGTAGGCTGGGGTAGCTGTTTGATGTGCCAAGTATAGCTGAATATAGTACATATGGAAATACTGCGCAGTTAGTTCAGGGAACTGGAAAAAAGATGTTGACAGCTAAATGCTGTCCTTGGCCCCTCCCTAAAGTCTTTCGCACTGGACATGAACCAACACTTTATGTTTAATAACACTGTCTAAGAACAAAGTTTGAGTCCAGTGGCACTTTTAAAACCAACAAAGTTTTATTCAGGGTGTAAGCTCTCGTGTGCACGCACACTTCTCCAGATACAATGAAATGGAAATCACCAGTCCATACATCCATACATATGTGTGTGTGTGTGTGTGTAGAGGGTGAGCAGTAAATTGCCATTTACTCTACACAGCCAATCACCCCACTTCCAAGAAGAAGATGCTCTAAGGTCACCTCAATGTTTGAGAGGATATGGATGGAGTGTAATGGCCGGGTCTCAGTTAATTACTCTCAGCATTCCACAATTAAGGATACATCTGCCCATCAATCTCCAATTTTGACATATTTATTTCCTTCACTATGTTTCCCCCCAGAATTAAACCCAAATAAATGGTAACCATATAAACTAAGTTTGTTATTCCTGTTTGGTTGTTGAATCTGTTAAACATCTTCATTTCGTATGCTAATTTACTGCCCACCCTCTACCTATATGTATGGACTGGTAATTTCCATTTCATTGTATCTGAAGAAGTGTGCATGCACACAAAAGCTTATACCTTGAATAAAAACTTTGTTGGTCTGAAAGATGCCACTGGACTCAAATTTTGTTCTCCTGCTTCAGACAAACATGGCTACCCACCTGAAAAAATGTCTAAGCTTTCACACACATGGCAGAAAGTAGGCTATCTAAAAATTAATGGACATTTTCCTAATTGTTACACAAAAATATACAAAACACATTAAAGATCATCCCTGCTTTAATACGTTGGGAAAAGGTAACGTGTAGATAACGTACCTAGAATCAAAAGCAATTCTTGTGCTCTTCCTAGAGCAAACACAGGAATGAGACCTCTACCTCCTCTGTTTACAATATCATGTACAGTGTTGCAGAATCTTGCCTCCCGCTCTTCTCGTTTTTCATGGATGTGTGTGCCGTAAGTAGACTCCTAAGGACATAAGTCACATAATTAAACCAATGGTAGACAGACACCTTCTGTCTTCTGCTGCATTTCCCCTACCAGAGGAAAGAAAAATCTTACCAAGGACAGCAGTGGCAGGCATTCAAAGTGCTACCACAAGCAATGGAAGTGAGTCTATCAATTCCCCCCGGGGTGGGGGGGTGGGAACAGTTGTTTTAAATAGGAGAGATCAAATCCAGAGTATCCCGCAGCATCTCTCCTTACCCCTAAGCTTTGATGTGGTTTTGCCTTAGTTTGTGGCAGTGGAGTAACGCTGGGGTGGCAGGCCTGAGCCTACAGCTTGGTCTGCCCGTGCAGCAGAATGAAGTGACAGAGTGCAGAGCCAGTTGAACTGACTACTACTTCTGCTTGCAGGTGAGAAATTAGATTAGGTCATTAAAATTCCCCGTTGGTGGAAAACCAGCGCAGTGTGTGAAACAGCTAGGCTAAAAGTTCTACCTCTGTCTTTCTAATTTCTTATTTTTAGGGAATTTGAACATTTTAGGGAATTCTGAGCATTAAAAAATGTGAGTGTTCATACTTGTAGTCTGATAGTAGAGGCTGATCTTCCCTTGCTGGTTTTCTTGCTCAGAGACGTGGTGTAACTATCCTGTGGCCTTTAGTCATGTGGCTGGTGATAGAGCTCTGAGTGTGTATGTCCCCTCATTTCTATAGTCTCCAAGTAACTGGCAGCTACCAAAGAATTCTTTCTAGTGTGGGATGGCAGTGGAAACCTTCTGGTGGGTGTTCGTTCAGTAGCTGAAGCTGCGCTGTAAGACTACAGAAATGAAGGATAGCCTGGTCTCTGTCTAGGGTTACCAGTTGGTGGGGGGGATCCCCTGGTTTGGAGCCCCTCCCCCTGCTTCAGGGCTATCAGGAACCGGGGGAAATTCCCCTACCCCCCAAAACAGGCAAGAAACCAAAAATAAACACAACATGCCTATGTCACCCAGAAGTGGCATGAGTAAGCAAAGACTTACAATGATAAGAATATCAGGTTTAATATTGGGAATTTCAGCTGCCATTAAGTGCCTGTCTTCTTGTCTTGAGAAATCACCTGTGTACAAAAGCTTTGACAAAGAAACAATACATAATGAGTTGTACTGTGAGTTCTGCTCACTGAAAGGAATTTCCTCCTCTCCTCCCTTCTGTTGTACTTCCAAAAATGCTGCCACTGGTGTTTAGAGGACCCCCTTCCCTCCCAGGAACAGAACTGGACACAGTATCAGGATCTGCAGCAGGCGGAAGAGTCAGGAAAAATTACACACTCCTCCACCAGCAGAAGTGCCATTCTACTATTGGAAGATGAGCGTTGGATCCAACCCACTGTATTTAAATAGAAAAATGAATCCTCTTGTGCTTTTATAAACTATTTTATAATGTAATAATTTTATAATAATATCTGACATTCTTTTATAATAATATCTGATGTAACATTTTAAAAGCTATTTTAATCTCCTAGATAATCCTCATTTTACCATCCTATGTATCTGTATTTACATTCCTAATGTATATATCTTAAAATCTTGGACATACTTCAATTCACCAACAAAAACTCTCCCCTGACATGCCTAGGTATAAGGAAGTTCTAGAATAACTGAGAAGGCATACCATTGTTTAAGTTATAACAGGAATACAACACATTTGTAGTTTTCTATTTTGCATTCTAAAGAACAAACTGCGAATGTTCATCAGGGGTACCTCTATCCTTCCTGAGCTAAGACAAAAACGTGTGAGCTGGAGGCTAAAGAACTGTGAGCTAGCTCACACTAACTCAGCTTAGAGGGAACACTGCATGTAAGCAAGAAGCTAGTACTTTGATTTTGGAACATGCATGAAAATACTAAAAGAAATTTATCAGAACAGGTAGCTACCACAGCAAACGCTTATACCCTAGTCTTTTAGCCTTTGTGTGACTAATGAAAAAAACATGGTGGTATGAAAATCTTTCCATGTCCTTCCCTCAACTACTGCTACTTTTTAAAACCAAAGGTAATAAAACAATACAAATAAGCATTCAGTGACAAAAGAGTGCTTGAATGTCTACAAAGGAAATACCTTCACACCAGCTATTTCAATCATGAACATGGCGGCTCCCAGAACGTGGCCCGCATGGTAACACCAGAATTTGATTCCTGCCACCTCTTTGACTTCATGGAAGTTGATAGTTTCGATTTTGTCCATGCTTTCTTCTAGATCTGTCTCCGTATACAACATGTCATCTGCAGAGATATTGCTGCATGAGACAATTAGGAAAAAATATCATCCTGATCATTAGTGTTTTTGAGTGGTTACAGAAATCTAATTCTCAGCATGGCCCCATCTATGGATACATAAATCTGAACAGACATGTCTTTCTGAGAAAAGTACACAGTTTTGAGAAAAACCTGAAATTTAACTTAAGAAAAACCAACCAAAATTTTAAAATGAAACAACAGAAGCAGCACTTGCAGCTTTAAGAAAGGAATGCCCCTTTCAGGAGACACTGTGGGAGTTACTAGGCAACTACAACAATGCCAGCCTTCAAGCCTTGGTTATTGACAGTGAAAGACAGAGCCCTTTTCAGGTGTTTTGACCTTTAAGAGCAGACTCATGGGGGCCAGGCATAGCAGCAACCACTGGCAGGCCCGACTGCTTGCTGCTGTTTAACAGCAGCCACCACATGAAAGCCAGTATTGTATAGTGGGTAGAGTTTCAGACTAGGATCTGGAAGACCCTGGTTGAATCTCTGCTCTGCTGTGGAAGCTCAGTCAGACACTAGAGTTGCCACCTTCCAGATGGGGCTTGGAGATTTCTTGGAATTACAACTGTTCTTCAGACTGCAGAGATCAATTCTCCTGGACAAAACGTCTGCCTTGGAGGGTGGCCTCTATGACACTACACCCCACTAAAGTCCATCCCTAGGTCCCACTTCTAGATCTCCAGGAATTTACTAACCCAGAACTGGCAACCGTAACCCACACTCCCAGCCCAACCTACCTCACAGCATGGTTGTGAGGATAAAATGGACAACAGGAGAACAATGTAAGTTGCTTTGGGGTCAGAGGTGGGGTTAAATGAAGTAATTAATAAATACAGCTAAAGAAGGGGGGACAAAGGTAGGGTGGCTGGTGGGTAGGAAGGAATGAAGGAAGCAGGGAAAGGGGAGAGGACATGGGGGCTGCCAGGAGGAATGAAAGAAATAGTGGGGAAGGGTATCCCCTGCAAGTCCTTGTGGGTCCCCCATTTGAACTTTTATAATTGTGTAGAATTTGCAAGATGCTCCGCAGCTTAATGTAAGATACACAAGAAATTACAATGCCAGGATCCAAGTGTTACATCTATGTTGTTCAAATTACTGTATCACTTGGTTTTCCCACAACTTAAAAAGGGCTGTGAAAACTATTTAACTCACCTAACTTTGACGTAATCTGAAAGAAGCCATCTATAAATTGCTTTTGTCGCATGGGTCATAAAAGTTCTTCCTTTAAAACTCGTCTTCTGTAGAAACCATGGTAATGCTCCACAATGATCCAAGTGGAAACTGAAATATATTTTAAATCAAAGTATGTAAAACACCATGACACTAAAATTTCAATCTCTAAGATATTTGTGCACAATAGAAGTATTGACTAAACAAACTCACTGCAAAACGTTACATTTACTATAAAGAACTTGGAAAAATAAAACAAAAAAGGCACTAGGTTTTGATAGCTCTATCCCTGAATTTTATTGAGTCTTTGAGGACATTATTGCCCTTCCTTTGCTTGCAGCCATTAATTCTGTCTTTGTTCAGGAACAATTACCTGATTCCTAGCTCGAGTGAAAACGGATAGCAATTCCAATACTGCTAAATCTCTAGTGAGTTCTTATCTACGTTAAATGAATTATGATTATAAAATTCTGACCATGGTCTTGGCAAATAGTGTAAGGGCAATAATATCAAAATATAAAAATACTGATAAAACCAGTTTTATGCCAGGTGGCGACAGTACATCAAATACTAGACAAGTCTTTAGTCTTATAGATTATGTCAAACTGAAGGGGCTTAAAGCTATTTCTCTCTTTTTTGGATGCTGAAAAAATTAAATTGAGTACAGCACAGATTTATACTACGTTGTTTATCAGTATTTGCTTTGGGGCACTATTTTTAGACTGGGCTAAAATAATATACTCCAGATCAACAGTATGATTAGCATTACATAACACTTTATCATCTCAACTTGAATTAAACAGGGGTGTTAAGCAAGGTTGCCTGTGTTATGATTTTAATCCATATTTAAGATAGTTAGCAATCATGGTTAGAGAGAATCCAAACAGTTAAAAGTTAAATTAAGTCTCTATGCAGACAATACTGTTGTCTTTATGATGGAACCAGATAGCTCTAGCATGGAATGTAAAAGATTAACTGTTTTTTCCCCCTAAGGTTGCAGCGTATAAATGAAACTCGGAGAAAACAGAAGCTTTACTGCTCAATCTAAGCTTCTCAAATATAGCCTCATCACTAAGGGTCAAAATTAGTAGGAATAACTCTGATACCTGGAAAATTAATTTCAAAGCAGTAATCACATCCATTAAAATATGCTGACTACTTGGGAGTCCTTCAATTTGTCTAATATGGGCTGTATAAATGCAATTATACAAAAATAAATTATTTGCTGTTTAACATTAAAATGAAATTGATGCCAAAAATAAATTATTTGCTGTTTAACATTCCACTTTGGGGGAGTGGCACGCAATGATAAATGAGTTTACTTTGGGAGGCAAGAAGCCTAAGATTACGTGACAGATAGTACAGGCTAAGCGGGACATGGGTGGCTTTTTGACTCCCAATTTGCAGGTGTACCATGATGTTGCGAGATTAACCTGGTTTATGAGTTGTGTGTCAGATGCTTTAGATTTAAGTAATGTTACAGAGCCCTTGAGAATGCCCCTGAGAACTTTTTTATAGATAAATGACAATAACATCACCATTAATGCTCTTCTTCAGGTGTGGGATTTATATAACAATAAAATATCCTGGGCCATCTCCTCTTGCATCAGCAGTCAGGGATCTGAATAAAATCCAAGAGTTTTAACTAGGTTCACTGAAAAAATGGGAAACCTATTGTTTAGATACATATAAGACTGTTCTAAAATAAGATTATTAATTCTGATACAGTTGTAAGTTCCAGTAATGGTCTCCTTACCTTTTTTGAATACATCCAGGTGAAAAGCTATTTATTGAAGAAATTTCCTACTGACGGGTCTCTAAGAGGTCTTTCAAATTTTGAAATGATATCGATTAAGGGTGGAAGACATGTTTTCTAAAATCTATGAGATATTGATTCAGTGAAACTTATCTGTGGGTCATACACCCTACTTTCTTCTTAAATTGAATCATGATTCACAATAAGAGTTGTCTGAGGATCTCTGGAAACATGTTTTTGTCTCCGGAACAATGCTCCCTCTAAGCTGTGAGTTACTGGCATTAAAGTTGTGAGCAAGCATTTTAGCTACTGCATAAATTACGTTTGCTCTGGAGCCATCCCTCCTGAGCCAAGACAAAAATGTGTGAGCTGGAGGCTAAAAAACTGTGAGCTAGCTCACACTAACTCAGCTTAGAAGGAACACTGCTCGGGAATTATCTTTCACTATATTTTTATATTTCAGGGAAAACCTGTTTAAGATGATTCATAAAATCTATCTCACTCCCAAGAAACATACAAAGTTGTATAATGTCACTAGGAATTGTTGGTATTGTCATCTTCAGGTGGCAGATTTTTGGTGGTATTGTCTATATGCTGTGAATTACTGGAATAGCGTAAGTGAAAAACTGAGGAAAGGGTTAAGGATTAATGTGCTCCTAAATCCGGAAGTCTATTTTGTTGTCTCTTGTACCTGGATTTTCTGTGAAATATCAGGAAATCCCTTCTAAATCTTATTACGACAGTGTGACTAATTTTTGCTTGGCATTGGAAGCTAAATATGGTAGCAGATATGCAGGAATGGTTAGAAAAAGTTAAAGAAGTTTATGTAATTATGAAGCTCACTATATTACAGAACGATAATTGTCTTTTATTATTTGACCATTTACGGTCTTCTGCTGTCAATGAAATCAAGTCAACTTTGTAAATTAGTTATTTATGATGGACTTAAGAATGTCAATTTGTCTTTTGTAGAAACCATGGTAATGCTCTGCACTGATCCAAGTGGAAACTGAAATACTGGATTTGAAATCAAACTATGTAAAATACCAAGACATACGATCAGATAATTTGTGGTGTTACTATATGGTCAAGAAAGTAGAAATAACACTTAAATCAGGGCTGACAAACTATTACTTGTCCTCAGCATATTGAACATTGAGCAGAATCCAAAATTCCACAGGCAGTGTTCTGCTCATGTAAGGGAGCTTTTCAGCTCCCCTCTTCTAGTAACATCTTCTCCACAGAGTTGGCAGGTTGCCCCCACTCCTGAATGGTACAACATGAGATCCAAGGGGCTGGTGAAGGCAGGAACGATACGTTTTCATCTCCCCCTATGCACAGAAACACACACAGCTTGTCTCCTAGCTAATAAAGCACTCAGAGCAAATCCACAAAAACTCTGCATGGACCTACATGTAACTTACTGACTAATCAGAAGGAGATCAATCTCAGCTGGGTCTATCAGATCAATATAAGGAAGAGCATCCATTCCTTCTAGGCCAGGATGAATTCCACAATCAAGCTGAAAACACACATCAAAATGCTTTTAAAAACAAAACAAGCAAGTGGTTTATAATACAGTCTAAGGAACTGATGGCTGCTATTAGTGCCAGACTAATGAAGTTCACGTTACATATCTGGCACTTCAATATATTATCTTTAAAGTGTTTCAAATGTTCTGTCTCACATGGAGACTTCCCCCCACCAAAACCCGGCAGTACTTCATACAGGGGGTATAACATATTTAATTCAATCAACCCTCTAAATGCCTGAGTAAACAGATTCTACTCTGTTTCAGTCAAGAATGTACAGCACAGGACTGGCGCTTCTTTATGCAATACGGAACATCCATGTGGAAGTGGATTTCTAACACTGCTACCCCCACATGAAGCCCTGCCATGCAGAATCGGTTTGGGGTGGCCTCCTCATGGACTGTAACATTTGGATCACTGCTAAGCTAAAAAGCTGAATTCTCCAGTTTAAACTGGGACTGTCCAATTTTGCATTGGTGGAATGCTTTGGAGACTCATTCTATCTGACAACAATCTGCCTTGGAGAAGATGAACTGGCATCAAGTGCAAATGCATACCTGGGGTGTGTGTCCATAAGCAAAACATTAAATATATATGATGGAGAAGTATATTGTTGGTAGATGGTCTTCTGAGTACACAGATGATACAGCCAGATATGGTATTTACAGTCAAACATAGATTTAGGCAGAGACCCCACTAAAACAAGGACTTTGCCGTACAGTGTGCTAATATTCATATGTAACACAAAGTTTATTTCAGGATATACTCTGTTTTAATACACTATGTCCACCATTTATCGTTCTCTCTAGAACACACAATGCTCTAGTAAATTCAGACATATTATCATAAACTATTAATACTACACCCAAGTGAAGAGCTAAGAACTTACATACAAGAAGTATATTGTTGGTAGATGGTCTTCTGAGTACACAGATGATACAGCCAGATATGGTATTTACAGTCAAACATAAATTTACGCAGAGACCCCACTAAAACAAGGACTTCACCATACAGTGTGCTAATATTCATATGTAACAGAAAGTTTATTTCAGGATATACTCTGCTTTAATACACTATGTCCACCATTTATCATTCTCTCTAGAACACACAATACTCTAGTAAATTCAGACATATCATAAACTATTAATACTACACTCGAGTGAAGAGCTAAGAACTTACATACAAGAGATATTTTCAAGATATACAATCTAGAACAAAAAAAAATTGTAAATAACTTAGCACAATGAATGATTACCATGATCTTCCGTCCTTTAAACTCCAGGATAATACATGACCTTCCTACTTCCTGCCCAGCACCTCTGTATGAAAAGAAAGCCACAGTAATTTCCTGAACACAATCACCCATCCACAGAAGAAAACAACAACTTTTACTTGGCAAGTGAAATGAGGCCTTTGAGCCATGTCTGACAGCTTTGCAATCTGGGATGGATCTCATGGTTCAGTGTGGGAGCCCTGCTGTTGGAGGAAGAAGCCCTTCATCCAATAGAAGATTCCACACTTAGGCTGCAGTCACACGGGCCAGGTGAAGCGGAGGGGAAGCAAGGCTATTCCCTCTGGAGGAATTTGACCTGCGGTTGCGAGATCACACAGCCCTTTGTGGCTGCAGGCTCAGCCCATTACTGTGTGATTAGACACAACTATGGGTGAGTCTTTTTTTTGCCGTTTGTTTCCCATGCACATAAATGAGGATTCGCACCTTCACACTGAGGGCCCCCTATGGGTATGCGATGACGCACATACTGTGAGGGGTGGGGGGAGAACGGCACCAAGCTGGGATGACCTGATCAGACCACTCCAACAGCTCAGAAGCGTGCTTGCGTTATATGACAGGGGAAAGTCAGTCCATGGCCCATCACAACTGGTTTACTACTGGATTTTCTCTAGTGTCTTTTTACTGTGCTTCTGTGGCAAAGTAGCACGGGTTACTGATGGCTGCAGGACACTCCCCAGATGTTGCTGTCTGATCGCGCCCTTTTTATCCATTGGGCATTTGTATTGGATCTTCTGGTGTTTGTGATCACAGCCTTAGTAGAAGGGAAACAGATCTAACCCACTGTTTATTCATAACTGAATTAGTTAACATGAATTCTCCACTGAATATTGACATAGTGCAATGACACTGGGTAATGACATTCTGTGTTTCAAGTTTGAATACCTGCTCACCGCATTTTCAGAGGGGAGTAGAAAGTGTAATATATTTCCTTCAACACTGACACATAGAATGAAAGTTGGCATGCATGTGCAAAACAGCAGTCAGCATTCTTCAAGATCTAACCTACCAGCCCCTATGACTGCTTTCAATGACAGCCCAGAAAGATGTAAGACACAATACAATGTGATATCTCATTTAAAGATTGAGGCAGCAGAATATAGGTTGTGTACATATTCAGGACAATTTCAATAAAATTTCCATTAAAAATAAACATGACTCTTTCACCCATTTTGTATATATGTCTTATTAACATCATATATGTATATTTTAAATTTGTAAAATTTATCTTGCCACAATGGATAGTTTTAATCTTGTTCTGAATTTACTGTATGTTGTGGCGATTTTGTTGTGATGTTATGGCCTGATGGCTACCTCAATCAGTCACTTACTTACTTACTACAGACCAGGCCAAACATGGAAGTGACAAGGGAAGGGGAAAGATGAGAGAGAACCAGGTCTGTCAAGAAGCCCGGAAAATGGTGTCCTGTCCTTTTAGGACACGTAATGTGTGGAAACGGGCAGCTAAAGCTTTTCATGCCATGGGAATAAATGACATCGCTGGGTAAATAACCGCCCACTAAATTCAAGGGACATAACCGTTTTTTCCTCCAAACAGTTAGCAATCTTAGAGGAAAAAGGCACGTATAACTTGTTATATACACACATGCATAATGGAAAATAACAGAAAAGCACATAAGCAGCATTTAATACCCCCCACCCCCGGGAAAAGCCCGGCATACGAACAACCCCCAGGAACGCCACAGTCAACTCACAAGGGCCGAATCAGCAGCTGGTCGCTCTCCTCTGCCGGGATCAGCGCGTCGGCTTTCCTTTTCGCCGACATATCCTAGGAAGAAAAGGAGACGCGGCCACCCACGCTCCCTTCGCCGGCAGTTGTCTTCGGCTGATCCTCGCTTTCCCTCTGGGGCGCTACTTTTCCCATCAGGCCCGGAAACGTACAAGCAGACCTCACTTCCGCCCCTCTGCGCCTGCGTGGAGAGGTTGTCCAGTCTGGAGACGGGAAAAGGTCCGGAGGAGCGGAAGTAATCCTCAGAGGAGGTGGTACCCAGGAGGAGGAGGAGGAGGAATTTGCCTTCATCTGAGTCCCCCCACTGCTGTTGCTGGGGCTGTAGGAACGTGTTGAGGTGGTCTTGGAGGGTAAGATCTGTGAGAAACAGGTGGCGGTGCTTGGCCGCGACTGTTGTTTTCTAAAATGTTGACAGATCCTCTGATGCCTTGGACTTGGGTAGTTTTTTCCCATTGTGGAAGTCCCGTCTGCTGGGTGTCTGCATTGAAATTACATATTTTATGTCTTAGTTTAAAACGTAGGACTGTTGAAGTTACGCTTTGAGATGTTTTGAAATCAGTTGCTTGGTTCTGTATTTTATGTGGGAAATTTGAGTAGCTATGTGTGTATGTATATTTAGGATCGTAGGCTTAAAAGTGTGGCAAATGTGACTTGCTTTTTTCCCGTCCTTACAGCATAGTCTCTTATAAAATAATGTTCAGAAAAGGGAAAAAACGGCATAGTAGCAGCAGTTCACAAAGCAGTGAAATCAGCACTAAAAGTAAGGTAAGGTGAATCTAGTTGCAAGACCATGTATTTTGAAAATTTTCTTATATGGGATTAGGACTTAAAATATATTTCCTAATGTGCCAGCAGTAAAATACGCAGGTAACTGAGTGATCGTTTGGTATTTTTCATCCTGCCTCACAGTAATCCAGCTTCAAATTTACAAATAATCTTGATTTTGTAAAGTAAATTGGATCAGTTTAAAAAACTATATGCTTATTCTGCACAGTTAAAGAAGATACTGCTTATCTTGATGTTGTCTTAAATTCTGGTAGAAAAAATAGATTGTAAATGATGAGAGAAACCCTGTTTTATTTGAGAGAACTTCTTTAAAGTTTTTATTTGCTAAAGGATGTGTGAAGTTATATGCATTATGTTGGTTTCATTAATCTGGAAGACTCAGTCCAGTTGTAATTCTAGGATTGCCTTGTGTAGGCATAGTGGACATACTGGAAGTTTGCCTTTGTTCTTGTGACAGTGTGATCCCCTTATCTGCTGGGTGGGCATTGGGGAATCCCATAAAAGGGTCTGATTATACCACAGGAGATCAATTTACCTGAGTAACTTAATGATACTTTCACATTTATTTTCTCTTTCCTAGTCTGTAGATTCTAGTCTCGGAGGTCTTTCAAGATCTAGTACTGTTGCTAGTCTAGATACAGACTCCACAAAAAGTTCAGGTATGTACCCAGTGAAGGCCTGAAGCAACTGCATTATAATTATAGGGATGCTTGTAGCTGAATGTTTGAACAACTTATGGTTATATACAGAAATGTGTGCTTTTGATACTAAAAAAAAGAAAAGAATCAAAACTCTGTGCCTGGGTAACTCTTCAAATACTTAAAGAGAGCAATCCCTTTTTTGTTGCCGCATCACACTGGCTGCTCATATTTAACTTTCGGTCCAGTCATAACCCAAGAGCTTGTTCACACATACTGCTACTCAGGAGTGTATCCACCATCCAGTATGTGTGTTCCTCATTTTTGTTACCCAGATTTAGAACTTGACATTCATCCTTGTTAAATTGCATCTTGTTCACATCCATCCACTTTTCCAGTGTATTCAGATCTCATTGAATTCTATCTCTATATTCTGGTGTGTTCGCTGCTCTTCCCAATTTGGTGGCATCTGCAAAATTAATGAGTAGCCCCTCCACACCCTCATCCAGATCATTTATAAAAACACTGAAAAGTATTGGGCCCAGAACCAAGCCTTGTGGCACCTCCCTATCCACCTAATTATCCTAGAGTCCAGTCCACGGTCCTCTAGTTTACCCATGCCCATCAGAACATCATGAGGAACCCTGTCAAAAGCTTTACTGAAATCCAGGTAAACAACATTAACAGCATTCCTTTGATCCAGTCAGCTCATCACTCGATTAAAGAAGGAAATGAGGTTGGATCCTGTTGGGGACAAATCCATGCTGAATCTGGATGCTGTTTACATTTCAGTTTAACAAACATAAACCAATTCCAGTAATTTTAGCCTACTGCCTGCAGTTGGACTCAAGGGGTGAATGGAGGAATCCATTAATTGGGCATAGGGAAGGTGTAGGGTGTGTTAAACCATTGGGGGCCAAACCTAAAATGTGCAAATGAATACCGTAAGCATAAAACTAATTCTAGCTTGTGTTGCTTTGAAAGTATTGTTTGAATACTTGTACGTATCTGTGCACCTGGTGATGTAAAAACTTATACTGGAATAGGTTTTTTTTTTTTTTTTAAACTAAGGTACCATTGACTCTTTATTTTGTGGCAACAGACTAGCATGGCTATCCCTCTGGAATTATTTCAATATGTGTTCCTTTGTAGGTCAAAGTAACAGTAATTCAGATGCTTGTGCAGAATTCAGAATTAAATATGTTGGTGCCATCGAAAAACTGAAGCTTGATGAATGCAAGACTTTGGAGGGACCACTGGACTTAATAAATTACATAGATGTGGCACAGGTAAAGACTTTCTGTCAATATTTTTACAAATTAAATGGGCACATCTCACCTTTTATACTTTTGTGTGCCGAATATGGTCTCTGAAACACTTTTCAGAATCTGGTTTCTGGCCCCTACCAAATTCCCATATTATTGAAAAGCAAGAAGCTGGGCTGGGAATCTAGAACATTCATTTTAAATAGAGATTTTTCTCAGGACTTGATGTGCCTCAGGAAACATATTGCAAAGAATTGTCTGTTGCAGTAGGAAAGTTGCAAATGTGGGTAACCTGCATAGTTAGTGTACAGGCTTTTTTGTGTTATGGATGGGTCTTTATCATATGGCATTGTGTGTGGTATAGCCAGGAGATCTGAAGATAGTCTGGCAGCCTTAAGTTCTCTTTTTTAGCATTATGCACCACTAGGTTGCAAGCTAGACTTATGGGGAGGGGTTGAGTTCTGAGAGAACTGTGACTGACCCAAGGTCACGCAGCTGGCTTCATGTGGAGGAGTGCAGAATTGAATCCGGTTCTCCAAATGAGAGTCCACTGCTCTTAAGCACTATACCACACTGGCTGTCTTTTTTCTCACAAAGCAGGGTATTCAGGATGCACAGCAAGAGCTCTGTTCTCATCATATTTTTAAAAAAACTTCCTTCTAGAGTAAACCCTTAACCAAGTTAAGACTACCCTTAACCAAGTTAAGACTACAAGCAGGCAGAGAGTTGCCAGGCTGGGGGGCAGAAGTTAGAAGGAAGCTCCAACAATACAAGGGATAGTGTGGTGGCCCCTATGTAAAATATGCTGCTCTGCATCCACTATCCCTTTGGAGGAGGATTGCTCCCTTCATGTAGCGATCTGTAAAGCTCCCTGTGTCAGTTCCCTGACAGGTTCTTCAGAGGAAATCTCCATCCTTCAACTGCAGGACATCTCATCCATTCTGCAGCTGGGCAGCTCTCAAGGGTTTAAGCAGGCTGGTAGGTTGCAGTTGCCACCTGAGCAGCAGGACATTTCTAAGGCGATGAGGCCTGGAGTGCTTTGTTTCATGCTCTGTGCTCATCGCCCCCAACTGGGCTGCCAATGGCCAAAGCCATTTGTAGCTTGTACTTACAGCAAGGTCTGTATTCATATCCCCTTTCTGCTTCTTCCAGTTATGTGTGTAGTAGGCATGGAAGCCTCACACTGATTGGTGTAGAGTGATTTGCCCCCCCCCCCAATGCTTTGAGGGCTGCCCTTTTCTCTCTTCTTCCAGTGGCTTCTCCAAGCTAATCTCAGGCTTGCTGTCTTGCTTCAGAAATCCGTAAAATTTATTCAAGTGGGCATGCTCAGGATCTGGACTTCCTTATTTTGGTACCATCCCATTTTGGAGGCTCTACAATAGGGAACTAAAAGTTTACACTTGCCAAGCAAAGGGCCAGTAATTAATCACTTATGCTTAATTTTTATTTTTACTAACAAAAACAACAACAAAGAAATACAAAATAGATATACAAGATTACAACATTTTCACACAACCGACCTTCTTTGATGAACAAAAACATAAATATAAGTAAAGATTTGTAAAAAAAGGTTTTATTTGTTCCATCATTCCTTGTTCTGAGCAGAATGTTTGGTTTCCTTTCCTGATTCCTGGTATCCTCCTCTTTTCGGTTTCTTTCCTTAAACAATGCGCTAAATATCTTCCCGGTTTCTTTGCATATTCAGAATGTCTTAGTTTTAAATATTTTAATTAATCACTTATGCTGATATGTACACACATAATAAATTTTGTTTTTCTTTTTAAAGCAAGATGGAAGGTTACCCTTTGTGCCAGGGGAAGAAGAATTTATAATGGGTGTTTCCAAATACGGTATTAAAGTCACAACCTTAGATCAGTATGTAAGTAATTATTTTTTAAAATGCTCTTTTTTTGGCCACAGTAGAAATCTTGAGAGTTCTCCAGTCCCCCCTTTTAGTGGGTTTAGCCATGGGAAAGGCAAATAATTCTGAAAATATGACATGCTGAGACACCTATTTGGATATGTTGGTTTAGTGATAGGAGAGCTTCTGGCATGATCTATTTCAAATCTGATTCAGTGGAAAAAAGCAACTGCTGAGCAAGCGTCTGCTCTTTGGCCTTCAGAGTCACAAGACCTACATCCCTATAATTTCCTCTGGCACACGTACCGAGAAAAATGGCTTGCAGCTGCCCTACCAGAGTTTGCATGTTTTTGTACAGCTGCCCTCCTAGCAAAAAACACATATCCCTTTGAGGAATAATCGCAGACAAACATTGACTATCCTCTCCAAATTGGTATTCCTCTTTCCCATAAGCTTTTTGTTTTGTTCAATCTATATTTGCACAGAAGTTGTAGGAATGTTTCCTTTGAAGTTTGTGGTAGAACGACCTAACTAATGTGATAGATTAACTTGGCTTTTAGCATGTTCCCCCCCGCCCCCCATAGATGTGTGTAACCTTCAACTTTTCACTGTTCCTAATTTATTTTTTCTTCCAGGAATTTTTTCCTTCTCCAGTTACTTTTAGACTAGGGTGTCAAGCTTTCAGCATCAAAATATCTGCATTCTGTCACTAGAAGTACCTGTACTTTTTTTTGAGTGCTGAAGCAGCAATGCCAATAGCTCAGATCCTGCCTAGAATTTTCACAGGCATTGCTGGAGGGGGGGGCGGCTGACTTTTGACCACACACCACCTGAAATATTGCTTCTGGAGGACAGGGGACTCCCAGGAATAGCTTGGGGTGAATCAACAAAAATTGCTCTCCCCAGCACACCTACAGACATTTTTGGCACGGAGTTAAGGTGGCTCCGGGGCAGGAGGACAAGGTCTTCCTTTTACGCTGAACTTTATACGTGAAGTGTCTTCCGTGTAGCCAAGAATGAATCCAGTAACTCAAAGTGACCATGCTGACAGATGTGGTATGCACAATCATACTAGAAATCGTTGGCAAGCTGCATGCCACCAACTGTTCTTAAGGTCTTGTTGACTGGAGTCACAATAGTTACTTTGTCGAATAATGTCTGCACAGTATATGATGGTTGTGATTCATAGTGGTCTAGGGCACACCCAGAAAATGACATCAGGGACTCCTGCTTCCTAGTCACTCCTATCTACTGAGAGAGGGATCAGGCTCAGTGGGCTCTTTGATACATGATTCTGGTTCTGAGACTTTTTCCCCCACCAGCCTTGAGGCATTTAAATTTTAATTCTTAACTTGTAGATAAGGGAGATGAGATTTCTTTGCCTGTGAATTCTTTCATTTTGGCAAATAAGACATGGAGCTACTATACCATATTCCTTTCCTTAAAACTCCCAATGCCAATGTGCAAGTAATCGTTTTGGTGAAGTCAACAGTATAGAGAACCAGCAACTGTTTTTCATGAAACTTAAAACTGCTATGTGGACCTTTCAGGATGTCTTGCATAGACATGCACTCTACCTCATTGTGCGGATGGTCTGCTATGATGACGGCCTAGGGGCCGGGAAGAGTCTGCTGGCTTTGAAGACGACAGATGCCAACTATGAAGAATACAGCCTTTGGATATACCAGTGTAATAGTCTGGTAAGGCTGATGAGTAATATATTTATTTTAATAAAAAGGGACTTTAGCTTGCTGGGAAACTGCTTAAACCGTGCTGTGCGCTAAAACCGTATTACATCTGGGCTGCTGTTCAAGCCCCAGTGTGACAGTCTCTCAGTTTGTCTGTGATGTAGTCCGGCTGGCGCCCTGGTCTGCTGCTGTCCACTCTTGGGCTCATTAGACAAGAGCCAAAGCATGATAGGGAACTAAATGTGTGCATAGGGTTGTATGTGCACAATTTAGGATGTGATTCGTAGCACACTTGCCAAAAAGGTCAATAACGATATAAGTGGTTCCTGCCACGTTTTCCTGCAGAGGAGTTTGTAAAGAGCAGTTGGAATGTCTGTGGAAAGACAGACATTGACAGGCATGTTTCACTGGGGGAAGGGGGAATGTAGATGCTTTGCCATTTTTTTCCCACCTTCCATTTCTTCTCCATCCGTCTGTTTGACTCTATTGTGCTTATAGATTTGAGTGAGAGTGTTACCAAATAAAGCAGGGCGGTTGAATGACTAGAATGGTGGACTGAGGCCCTGTCCAGGCTGGCCATCTTCGCCCACCCAGCTCCCAACTGAGATCCACCGAAAGGGCAGAGGAAATGTAGTGTGACCTTTATCGGGCCTTCAGCCTCTGGTCTGTGGCAGTAACAGTGCTATGAATTTTAAACATATGAACCTGAACTTGCCTTACATTCACCATGGAATGGAATTTATAGCTGTGTTAGCACTTTGGGGAGAAGACAGATTAGCTTCCAGTTCACACCAGTGGGTGCCCTGTAATCTCAGTACAAGCAATCATGAATGCATGGTGACAAAGAAGAAAATCTGGTCTGTATTCAGAACTGTGCTCTTTTACTGGTAAGAAAGATCAGTTTGATATGCCACTCGAGCCTAAGTGATTTTAAAAAACAGCATTAAGTTCCCAACAGGGCAATCCTAAGCATAGTTAATGCCATTGAAGTCATAGAACTTCAGAAGGTTTACAAGGGTGTAACTCTGTTTAGGACTGCACTTAAGTCACATTCCTAGACTGCCCTGATTGTTTGACAACCTAATAGACACTCTTCACCTTAAAGCTGAGTATATAACAACAGTAACAAAAACCTTGAGAAGGGATCCCAGAAGGCTGAATGCTTTTATGTGTTGACATGCAGCAAACAAAACCAGTTTATCTTTCTCAAATACAGGAACAAGCACAAGCTATTTGTAAGGTATTATCAGCGGCGTTTGACTCAGTTTTGACATCCGAGAAGTCCTGAATTTCTGCAGCTGCATTTCATACTGAGAGAGAAGTAGCGCTTGCTGTGACTGTAGCAAGTGGAAATCAAAGCAAGTATTTTGAAGGGAACAAATGTGAACTTTTAAACTTCTTAAAAACTGCTTGAACATACTGTTTGAAGGAGCAAGGTTCTGTTGTGCTTTTTGTAAATAAAACTTGCTTGCTAAATCCATCTGATGAAGAAAAAGCAACTCAGGCACAAAGCTCATGGGATGACTTTGGGCCAGTCATTCTCTTGATCAATCAAGCCTACCTCACAGGGTGGTTGTGCAAATAAAAGGGAGGGAGACCAGGTATTGGTGCCTTAAGCTTCTTGGAGAAAGGAGGAAATAAAGGTATAATAATAAGAGCACAGCCAAGATTTAACATTGTACGGTATGCTGAGCCTCATAAATAATATCAAACCTTAATTTTGCTAAGATTTTTGTATACGCTAATAAAAAGGTGAATATAAGATGTGTCTTGCTAATTACTTTCTGCATGTGTTTTGACACTTAGATTTTACAGACTGTCCTACTTAAGAACCAGTTTGGAGTAGCGGTTAAAGTGTCGTCTGGGAGACCCAGGTTTGAATCCCAGCTCTGCAGCACAGGCTTGCTGGGTGACCTTGGGCTGGACACGTACTCTCAGCCTAACCTACTTCACAGGGTTGTTGTGGAGATAAAACTGACAAGAGAATGATGTAAGCCACTTTGGGTTCCCATTGGGAAGAAAGGCAGAAGTAAATAAATAAAAATACATAAATTAGGTCATCAGTTTGGACTTTCTTAATAGTATTTGTATATTGGACAATGTCCTCAAAAATATGTGGGATTCACAAGAATGGATTTAAATGAGATTTGATTACTCTGCCCTTAAGGCAGCAGATTGATGGTCTAGCCTTGCTCATAGTATAAAGATTTTATACTATTATTTGTCTATTTAATTTATAGCCCACCCTATCCCATGAGTGGGCTCAGGGTGGCTTACAATATAGAACCCATAAAATAATAAAAAAAGTAGACGACACGATAAACAATACACATAAACAGTCAAGAAAAGGTTTAAAAGCAGTTTATTTCCCAATCAATTGACTGGGTTCAACAGAAGTAAAATTAATCATGCTCCAATTATAAATCACTGCATCCAGACACTAAAAATAAGAATTGATTTAGGTTATACAATGTATACAGTTGCTCTGCAACTAAACAGTCAAACCATCACATCAAAATTATACATCTCAAGTAGCATTCTGAGCTGTATTTTAAGTGTCTTATGCTCCTTTTTTAAAATAATTAACACAGCCATCTTGTAATGTGCCCACTAAAACTCTGCTGAACATCATCGTCCTGTACTGTCAGCTATGAAATGGAATTCTTAGCGTTTGACACTTTTGAAACAAATCCACAATCCTGAATATCTAGCTTTTAATTCTACCTTAAAGGACAAAATGCCATAGATATGAAGGTCAAGTCCTGGGTACAAGTTCCGTGCCATCACATAACAGTGAGAAAATACTCAAGGCATTCGAAGTGTTTTTAAGGACAGTTAAAAGCATCTATGCTGAGGCTGGGATCCCAATAGCTATCTTCAGGCATACCCTAGAACTTAGATATGTGCCCAGTAGACTTCGTCCATGTTGGATGCATGGAACTAGTTTACTATCTTCAGGCATACCCTAGAACTTAGATGTGCCCAGTAGACTTCATCCATGTTGGATGCATGGAACTAGTTTGTGATCATTTTGATCCACTCCAGTATGAAGTCTGATGGCTAAAGAGGCTTCCCCAAGACAGCTTTGCACATTAGCTGTAAGACTCTGTGTTAAAAATACTGTACATTAAGTGAAGTGTGCAAAATAATGTGCCAATTTGTTTTCTATAGTTTACCAAAGGATAGAAACATACAAAATAGTGTTAAAAGCCAAACCAAATTCACCAGCATCTGAATAAACTTGTAGTGGGAAACTATTCTTTCTAAATATACATATATATGTCCTGGGAACTTTGAATATGTAGACGTAGCTTTAAAACCTGAAACAGAAAGAATTCTGAAACATTCCAGTTTGTTCCCCCATTACACTGCAACAGTGTATGATAAAATGGTTTGCTTCAAATATAAGCCAATGGACTGTACGAACACAGTTGACAAGTTGCCTTGAATGTACCATTTTAGCATGGCAGTATAAAGGGTGAGATCCAGCATATTTTTTCCCAATATAAATATACCAATTGGCTCTTTCCCTCTCATCTATTACAACCTACACTAGTCAATATATACATAATTTCTGTGTCAGAAATTCAAAGTTCTCTTGATAAATCTAGAGATACGATAGTCACAAAACTTGTGATCAAAGCCAGTGTGACCTGGGCAGTGGTATTCTAATCCTATGCTACCAGTGCAGTTTTTTGGTAACATAGGCAACATAACTCCCCCCCCCCCAAAAAAAAACAACTGCTAGAATATCACAATATACAAACAGTAAAAGGATGTTGCTATGTTTTGCAATATTCCACTGTCAATTCAGAATTATGAAATCTATTCACAATTATTAACAGTGTAACTACCGTGGTCTGGTGTCTATTTAAGAAGCCAGTGTGAGCCAGCAAGCAGATGGAGTTGCTTGCAACATAGTGGTGTATATCTTAATACAGTGAGCATATAGATTAATTCCCTGCTCTGTTATCTCACCACAATATTTTCTGAGTGTGAACATATCTCTATGTGTTAAAAAAAGAAATACAGTACAAAGTTTAGACATCATTTTGTAAGAAAGGGACTGTGAGCAGAATTTCATGAACTGCAATGAACACCTAAGTTTATTTAACTGATAATTTTGCATTATTTTCTTTTCCTTGAACAAAGTGTAGTTGCCTCAAAAACAACTTAAGAATGAAATAAAATATACAGGTTAAATGTATATTTAGTATAAAAAAGTTGAACCTCATAACTACAAACTCTGAGGTAAGAAGATTCAAGGTTTAAAGGTAATATCTCCATCAAATCATTAAAAGATTCCTTCAGAGGAACTGAGGCTGAGGTCAGACTGGCAATTTGAAGCGCGAGGGAGTCATGGCAAAAAGATTCCGGCACAAACTGCTCCGGGTTTTCCCGGTCACACTGCGCCGACTGATGTGGAAGCATACCGGGGAGGAGGCGCAAGGGAGCGTTCGCACTGTTGGCCCGCCCCTGGCAGAGGCGTGGCTTTCTTTTTGGTAATCCGGAGACATGTGCTTATGCGCATCAGCAATTGCGGCTTTCAGCGTTCACACTTTCTTGGTGCGGGATGAACGCGGGATGAACGCGCTCTCCAGGGTTTGCTACCACTTTCACCGGGTACTTTTTAAACTCGGGAGGCAAGCGCTACAAGACGGGTGGAGTACGGCTGGGGAACGCCTGACAGATGTGGCTGTGTGAACGGCCCCTTTAATCCGTTTGTGAAACGTTTCTGGCACGTGCCCATCTCGGGGCAAACTGCCAGTCTGAACTCGGCCTGAGTCATTCCAGACCGTCTTTGTGTGTGTGCGCAGTGCAGACCTATTGCAAGGGGAATGCATTTTCCCAGCATTCCAACAGCAACAGTGTCTTGCTTGGAAAGTGAGATTCCTGCTACTAAATGTCTGTTTTTGTTCCTGTGATTGTTGTATGGATTGTGACTGCCGGAGAGTCAATGGCGTCTACTGGACAGTACTTGTGACAACACGGAATGAGGGATACTCCCTGCCACCACCACCTACAATGCAATTCTGTGTGCTTTGAAGGGGTTTTCAAAACAACAGAGGTGCTTCCTCATTGTAACTATTGTGGAAGGAGTGTTTATCTTGCAAAAAGAACGACCTAACACAAGCAGTCATCTCCCACTAAAGCAGTGTCCTGCTCTTTTCTCCAGGCTCCCAGAGGGAATTGTAAGTCATTCGTGGTAACCCCCACACACACACGCACACACACCACTGAGAGGCAAGGCCAAGCTCTTGCATTACCTCTTGCGAGGAGAGGGCAGACAGCCTTTCTTATCTTTCCAGACTAGCTCTTTCTAGTGCCAAAGAAGCAGGGTAGCATATCAGCTGGCTGAAGTACCTCAGAGGAATATGGTAACAGAAAGAGCTCCGAAAGAAGAATCAACTGGCTGGAGCTTTATACTATCAGGCTGGCCTTCCAGGATCACATTCTTCATGTTCTTGAGAGGATGGTCAATGGCTTGGATTCTGACTAGTGTTTCTGCAGGCACGAGAACGTCCACTTCTGGGTGCAAGTTTCCCGCCTCCCGTGTTAGCTCAAAATGCCCCCTGAAATCCTGTTCCTAGAGAACAATGGGCAGCCAGGCATAGGATTTCAGGGGGGATTTTTGGCTCCTGGGGAGCTGTGAATTTCCCCCTTAATGGGGGAACCCTTTCCAATCTAAAAATCCACGGCCATTAGTATGTTTACTCAATATTTTTTTCCTCCCCGCTATCACTGTTAGTAACAACTGTTGACGCTGGCTGCCCTTTTTGTTCTACCGAAGCCTGTTTATTTTTATTGGGGACAAAATGGTACTTAAAATAGATGCTACATTTATCCTGGAACACACTATCACTATCATTTTGCCAGTTCACCAGTAGGAAAAGAACTAGTACATGTTGGTTGGGTAGAGTGCTCTGTTTTCTACCTGGATAGCACAGCTGCTGTTTGAAATCAGTGGCCATTTACAAATGGGCAGATTTATTAGTCTAGGGGTGGTATGTCTCCACTAGTGTCAATATAATATTAACAGGAAAACCCAGGAGTTATAAGTAACTTAAATTGTCTGAAAGTTGTGCTACATTTTGGTTGTTAGACTTATAAGCTGTTGTTGCATCTGCAACAGATTTTGGCTTTTCTAGGACTCAAGGCTTTGCAAAAGGAGAAGCATTTCTAGCTGAGTCAGAGTGCTCTGCAAGCATGCACTTACCATGCATCAAAACTATATGCTTGCCATTCCAATGTGTTATAATAAAAACATTTTTTTGCTACAGCCTGCCAAAAGAGCCTGCAAGAATCCAGTCTCAAGTGTAAATGCCTGAGCCCTATATGAACAGATGCCTTCATTTCCATCTGGTGACTTTCAACCTCTCTCATCTCCATTAGTCTTCTCCATACTCCCAATGTGTGTGTATACATTATGTTATTCATGAGCACCTGGATTGTCATTTAGACCACTATTTAAGGCATGTTTTTCATCATTATCTTTGATCCGTGCAATTTTTTTAAAAATCCACAGTGAGAATTGTGCCTTCCAAGATAGCAATCATGTCTGCATAGGAGCACCTCTCCCTTTAAAAAAAATGGAAGAAGGTATTTCCTTTAAGGACAATGTATGTGTTTCCACAAAGTAGTCAAGTTCTCTCAACTCTCCTCACTGCAAAGCCCATTTTTCTTTTGAAAAGGGTGGTAAGGGCTTGGCTAACTCTGCTCCAAGAGATAGCTGGAAATTCTATCCTCACATTTTTGTAATTTACTAAGTAAAAACAGAGAAAATTGCCTCTCAGGGGAGTTTTCAGTGCTACTACGCTGTACCTCAACAGGCTTTGGAACACTTACTGTGCAAAACAAACGCAAGATACGTAATGTAGGATATAATGTACTTGCACAATCCAGTAAATAATCTCTGAGCTTATCTAGAACTCTTAGTCTTGTGGTTTGTCTCAGAAATGTCTCTGATTGCTAAAGGGAGAAGCTGTGATACCTAGGCTCTGAAGAAAATTTTTAAAGGATCTGATGTCAACACACATATGAAATAGGCATCACATCTTTTTCATGGATTTGGGCTCCTACTGTATGCTGTTTTTAAGAGCTCTCCAGTTCACCATGAGAATATTTGCAGTTCATCTGGCATTATAAACCAGACTTCCTATGGGCAAACAGAAAATCCTAATTTCATCGTAAGACTTGCAATAATGGTTGACATTGATGAGTGTTCATCAAGAACAATCCTCGTAATACATCTGTCAAAAGGCTCTCGACAAACTCTGTAAGTGAAAGTCTTTCCATGTGCAAGGAGTTGTTTAGTCAACAATAAAGTGCACAAACGATACAGGGAAAGCTCCTTTTCGGTTAGGTTCACCATCAATATGTCCAATCTGGAAAAGACACGAAATAATTTCAGAGTCAAGGGTTGAAATTTTCTCTGTGTTCAAGCTACTGCTCACAGAACACTGTTTAACTCTCTCCATGTAAAACTACTTAAAAATAAATCTCCAGTTTTAGCAACTTAGTTTCACACTATTTTAAAATGCACCAACAATGGACCATAGTGTTGTTTGTAATGAGAAGGGTGATGTACTGGTTAGTGCCAGGAAAGCCACAGATTCTAATACTTACCCACCACTCCTGATCTTCCTCACCATCAACTATGATGATATCCCCCTCTGAAAATGTTAGCTCATCTGGATTATCTGCTACACAGTTGTAAATTGCTTTTACTCTTTTGGGTTTTGTTTTTGACTGCAATAAAAAGAGACAAAATAGGTAAATAACGCTGAAAACCTAAGTCAGATCTAACACAAGTTTTATTCCCTTTACTTTTGGCTAACAGTTGCATTAGCATTTGATGAAGCAGGCTAGACCCTATGAAAATAAAAAATCATTACAAGAGGTGCAGCTGTATTTTTTAATATTATTTTCTATAAAGACTAACACTGTGACAGATGAATAGAAACGGTTAACTCCAGGGAAGATATAAGCAGCTTGCTTCCTTTTGTATACAAGGGTTTCAGGTAAGCAGAAGAATGGCCCATATGTGATCCCCCACCCCGCCCAAATGTGTGCATATACATACATACATTCTGAAAGTGTCCCAGCGGAATAAAAACACACAACATGCTTTGATGTTCACAGATTACAAAACGTGTGCTTTTTACCACTACCACTACAAACAGGTATTAATGCCTACCTGTGTATGAAACAATTTATTAAGCTGCCCACACTGCTTTTGTTGTCTGGATATTCAGTGGCTTAGATCCTACTAGCTTTTCAGCTGGCAAAAAAGGGGGCAATCTCCCAATTCCCCTTCTCACTGCAGCCCCATCCCAGATGGTTTTTGTCTGTCTCAGAAATGTCTCTGATTGCTAAAGGGAGAAGCTGTGATACCTAGGCTCTGGAGAAATTCTTTTAAGGATCTGATGTCAACACACATATGAAATAGGCATCACACCTTTTTCATGGATTTGGGCTCCTACTATATGATGTTTTTAAGAGCTCTCTAGTTCACCATGAGAATATTTGCAATTCATCTGGTATTATAAACCAGACTTCCTATGGGCAAACAGAAAATCCTAATTTCATCGTAAGACTTGCAATAATGGTTGACATTGATGAGTGTTCATCAAGAACAATCCTCGTAATACATCTGTCAAAAGGCTCTCGACAAACTCTGTAAGTGAAAGTCTTTCCATGTGCAAGGAGTTGTTTAGTCAACAATAAAGTGCACAAACGATACAGGGAAAGCTCCTTTTCGGTTAGGTTCACCATCAATATGTCCAATCTGCAAAAGACACCAAATAATTTCAGAGTCAAGGGTTGAAAATTTCTCTGTGTTCAGCTACTGCTCACAGAACACTGTTTAACTCTCTCCATGTAAAACTACTTAAAAATAAATCTCCAGTTTTAGCAACTTAGTTTCACACTATTTTAAAATGCACCAACAATGGACCATAGTGTTGTTTGTAATGAGAAGGGTGATGTACTGGTTAGTGCCAGAAAAGCCACAGATTCTAATACTTACCCACCACTCCTGATCTTCCTCACCATCAACTATGATGATATCCCCCTCTGAAAATGTTAGCTCATCTGGATTATCTGCTACACAGTTGTAAATTGCTTTTACTCTTTTGGGTTTTGTTTTTGACTGCAATAAAAAGAGACAAAATAGGTAAATAACGCTGAAAACCTAAGTCAGATCTAACACAAGTTTTATTCCCTTTACTTTTGGCTAACAGTTGCATTAGCATTTGATGAAGCAGGCTAGACCCTATGAAAATAAAAAATCATTACAAGAGGTGCAGCTGTATTTTTTAATATTATTTTCTATAAAGACTAACACTGTGACAGATGAATAGAAACGGTTAACTCCAGGGAAGATATAAGCAGCTTGCTTCCTTTTGTATACAAGGGTTTCAGGTAAGCAGAAGAATGGCCCATATGTGATCCCCCACCCCGCCCAAATGTGTGCATATACATACATACATTCTGAAAGTGTCCCAGCGGAATAAAAACACACAACATGCTTTGATGTTCACAGATTACAAAACGTGTGCTTTTTACCACTACCACTACAAACAGGTATTAATGCCTACCTGTGTATGAAACAATTTATTAAGCTGCCCACACTGCTTTTGTTGTCTGGATATTCAGTGGCTTAGATCCTACTAGCTTTTCAGCTGGCAAAAAAGGGGGCAATCTCCCAATTCCCCTTCTCACTGCAGCCCCATCCCAGATGGTTTTTGTCCACATGTTTTCCACAATCCTTCCTCCCCCCCTTGTGCCACTGGGAAAACCAGTAGGATTCAGCCTAGTATTCTGCGGCAGAAAAGATCTCACCAGCAACAGGCACACACTTTAGGCCTCTTCAAATGGAGACGGACCAGCAACAGCATATTGTTACATGTCTGTCACCAGGTTTGCAGATAATACAACAGGCATATGTAACAACTTCAAATACGGTGGTGTATTCTCTGCATCTGTACTACACTTGACCTTTTCAGATGAGTCACAAAAAGTTAATATCAAGCCTGAGAACCATGTATATTAACTTTTGAGATACTTATTTACAGCATTTCTGGCCCACCCGTACGTATGTATAAAACAGTAAAGACACACGCAATAGCTACAAAACCCACAGAAATAGTCACAAATCAAACAGTCATCAACCTACTAGTGCCCAGTAGCAGAAGCCAGTGCCATTATGGCAAAGGCCAGCTCAACAGGACTGATGTTAAGCGCTGAATCACAATCCAAGCAAGGGGGGAGGGCAGTTGCAGGGATAGCACAACCAGCCCACCCAGCAGCACAACCCCAATGTGGCAGCAGTGCAAAGTAACCCAACAGAATTAACCAGTGTCGTACCAGAGAATCCCAGCAGGGTTCCCCCCTCCCCATTTTTGGCAGAAGCAAGGGCAATAGATGTCCTGTGGAACACCTGAACCAGAGCCAGCCCAATAAACAGAACCCCAGTAATGCTTTGTTTTCTTCCAAAGCCAAGGGCAAACATAGTAACCTTGGCCCCGGTCACACGGGCCAGATAACGTGGGGGTGAGGCGTGGCTGTTTGCTCCGGAGCAAAGAAAAGCGCGGCAGCCCGAACACACATCCCGTGGTGTTCCTGTGGTTACGCCGGTAGGTGCCAATCACATGGCTATCCTGAAGCGCGGCAAAGAAGTGGCGCGGCGCGATCACACCGGCAATCGCTAGGCGCCGCTTCCGTGGCAAACGGGAATTTGTTTCCCACCGAAGTTTGCGCATGCGCATGATCAAGCAAGCGCATTCTGTGGAGACAAAAAAACCCCATCCGGTTTGCGACGGGAGATGGACGGGCACTGGATGCCACGGGATTCGAGTGGAAACGCAATCAGACGCCCGCCCTTGCCCTGCGTTTTCCGGAAACTACTACATTGTATGTGGTAGTTTTTTTACTCCGCATCTTCGGTGGGAAGCCACGTGTTAGTCATGGGTGAACTATGCTTCCCAGATGTTGTGGTGTGATCGTGCACCGAAAATCCACCTATCATCCGTGTCTTTAGAGCGGCAACTTCTCCGTGTGAATGGGACCCTTACACACCATTTCCCCAGGGAAGGCCTCGGAAACTGAGAGCAAGGGAATTGTGTGTCCACCCTGATCCTCATCCCTCAGCAGGAGCAGTACACACACACCAACCATCACTGCCTCAGTGGAGAAGACTTGGCCGAGGTGCCGCAACTGCCCTTCATCACAGACTCTCCCTTTCCCACCTCCCACCTCTGCAAAGAAGGAGGTCTAAATTGGCTTCATTATCGTGCTCCTGTGGGTTCTGCTGGTTTCTGTTTGGCACACAGATTGCACTATCCTGCTCTACCCTTCCCCATCAAAATGAAGAACAGTTTTTATGTTGATGTTTTAATTTCAGCAGGCAATTTTGGTTTGGGCTGGCTGGTGGTGCACCACCTTCAATATTGCCCTGTGCTGCACTTCTACCAGGGTTCTGTAGAGTTATTTTGGTGCAGGTGGACTCAGAACAGCAGTGGGGAGACTGGTGGAGCATTTCTGTGCCAATCCAATTGGCTAATGGCCCTGCTACTTCTCTCTAGTCTCTCATTTTAATTTTGGGAAGAGTGTTTCACCCCAACGTCTCAGCGCAGACTGTGAGAGGATGCAGGCACAAGTATGTGCTCACTTCAGTCACCCTCAAAGTCCAGGACAGGGTAGCCAAACAGTGGCAAGCTGACCTTCAGGAAGACCAACTGCTCAACTGTCCAGGGGAGCAGGCATGAGCGATGTGGGCTGACAATGTCACCTGCATAAAATTAAAAAAAATATTTTTTATTTTATCAAGCTTGTATCCATCCCTCCCCGCAAGTAGGGGGGAGAAGATCAAAACCAACAAAAGCACAAACCTCCAAAGGAAGTTTAGAAAACTTATTGAGGGCCAAAAGTTAAAAGTTAAGTGTACAAAAGAGTGTTTATTACAAAGACATATAAAAACCTAGTAGGGGCCCAAATAAAGCCTCATAAAATGTTCAAAGTTACAAATACACACAAAAAAAGACAGTATATGACCTGATGCGTTTCGACTCACAGGAGCCTTCTTCAGAGGTCAAATAGTGCAAAATACAACAAGCAACAGAGTACCTGTAACACACGTAAGGCAATTAACAATAAATAAAATAGGACCAAAATTGGAATGTTCCAATACGGAATTGAATGACACACCAAAAAGTTTCTATTTGGGGCCACAAATATATCTGGCCTTGTGTCAGAAGTAGTTGTATATACTGGAACTAATATGTACCTTCCAGTTTAGGTCCTAAGAGTGCAAGTAAAATTGCCTTGTCAGGGACAATGTGCCATCAATATGTAACATATTTAAAAATGTTTTTATGAACCCTCCTGCCCCAAAGCTTTGTTTTTTGCCTTTCAGAAGAGCCTAACCTACACTTGCCTCTGTTTTGGTTTTCTTTCTTCTTTGGTTGTGGTTTTTTAAAAAGTGTTTTAGAACTAGTTAATGCCTATACTGTCCCTGACTATGTTTTAAGAAACCAACATTGAGATGGAATGTGACAATCCTTTAAAAAGTTTAAGGCTCTTTATTAAACTTCTCCTGACTAGATTCTACCAGAACAATCCTGATTTCCTGTGTGGAAATGCAGGAGCTCCCTATTGAAGATTGAAAAACTACAGGAGGACAACCTAAATGGAAGTAATTTGTATAAAAGCGCCTACCTTCACTGAAGCTCAGAGTGCCAAACTGCTATTTGCACAAACCTTGCCCCTTTTAATGTTCTCTTAGCACTGGTACTTCCTGTGAGTTACAAACTTTGCTTTTTCCATCATGGGAATTTCAAAAAAGAACAAACTTCTGTGATTGGCTAAAGAGCAGTGTATGTTCCCCCCTTAACCAGTAATCCTATTGGCCAAATTGCCACTGCTCTTTTACCCCTCCCTCCTGTTCCCTGGGACATGAAAGCAAGGTAGGTAACTGGGCTTAATTTTTGAAGTCAGCAGCAACAATCTTGCAAACCTGCAAACCTGCGATGCAATGCTAAGCTTCCCCTAAGGGGCATGTGCCATTGGCCTGCAGAGATCCCTCTTCCCCCTCTCTCCTGTTGCCCTGGAAACCAGAGTAAACAGCAGGAAAGACCCAGAAACCGAAGGTAAGTGTATCCTTTTAAAGTTTAAACCCCCCCAGCCACTATTCAGTATTGCAAAATATACCCAAATACATGCCAAAGAATTTCAGCTTTTATTCGGGATTCTCTATTCGGTAGCTGAATCGGATAGGAAGATCTGATTTGTCTTAATAAATACCTGAATAATACTGATTAGACATTATTCGGGTATTTATTCGGCTCGGTTTACACCAAATGCACACCCCAAATCTTGACTTCATCCTACTTACTGCTTGGGATTTCCTTGGCATTGGAGCTGGAGGTTGGATCGGTACAGACATGTTTGCAGAAGGGGTAACCTGTGATGCGGGCATCTCGGACACAGACGAAGATTCTCCTGATACTAGAAGAAAAGAGATGTTTGTTTTAATTAAAATTGAATTTTAAATTGCATACCTTACTCTATTAGAAGACGCACATTTATTATCTCTTCTGTAACCCAGCTTCACATCAAGCCTTTTTGTGGCTCTACCAAAATTGCTTACTGCTTTTTCACAGCAACAACCTCTCCTTCCTAGATCAACTGGCTCAGTACCCAGGCTTTAATGCAACAGGTGCTTACATAAACTTCAAAAGCCACAGAAAACAATGGGACTTGTGTATGCACCCCAAAGGCGACTGCTCCCACTCATCCTTTCTGAAGATCTGGGAAATGCCTCTGGGATAGGTCATTGCTTTTAGGTACTTCCTGTGAGTTACAAACTTTGCTTTTTCCATCATGGGAATCAGCTTAGCACAAACAGCAGTCTATGCAAAAATGAGACAGTGTGCCAGTTTTACCACTTGCAGAATAAGGTCATGCACTGGCCTAAAGTTGTTCCTAAAGTCCCAAGTGTTTAAAAATATGATTTTAAAAATGATTACCACAAGACTGCTGCGAAGATCCAGCTCCTTTGTTCTGCCCCTTGTTAGCTGAGCTGGATGACTTGTCAGTCCTGTTCAGGAGAGAAGCAACCATTCCGATCAGGGATCACCTCTGGGGTTGATTCCACTGCACTTTTTTGTTATACTGCTGCAGGGTGTCAAATTAGTCCACATGTCTTCAAGGCTGGGGACAGAGGGTGGCACTGGGGGAAATGGTGCCAAGTAGGCACCCCCTAGTGCACGGTGTTCCTCAAGGGGCAATCCTCTTCCCAATGTTGTTTAACATCTACATGCGCCCCTTCCTCCAAGTGGTGCTGGGGTGTCACCAGTATGCTGACAACACCTAGCAATATCTGTTGATGGTCGGCCAGCCAGGTGTTGCCCCAGCAAATTTGGCCAAAGAATTGGAGGCCATGGTGGGCTGGTCGAAAAAGAGTCGGCTGAGACTGCATCCTACTATGATGGAGGTTCTGTGGCTGTGCGGTGAGGGGGGGGGCTTAGGTTTGGGGTGCCAACTCCTGGCTCTTGATGGTGTGCCCATGTTACCAGGACCAAGAGCCTGGGTGTGATCCTGGATGCCTCCTTATCAATGGAGGCCCAGATCACAAATGTTGCCAGACTGGTGTTTTTCCAGCTACGCTGGGTCAGGCAACTGGCCCCCTACTGGTCCTGATCTAGCCACAGTAATCCATGCAATGGTCACCGCCAGATTGGACTACTGTAACTTGCTGTACATAGGGTTACCCTTGAGTCTGATCCAGAAGCTCCAACTGGTCCCAAATGCAGCAGCGTGGGTCCTTACAAGGACCCCACGAACAGCACATATTCAACCTGTGCTGCATGAGCTGCACTGGCTTCCAGTGGAGCGCCAGATCAGGTTCAAGGTTTTGATGTTAACCTTTAAGGCCCTAAATGGTCTGGGACCCACGTATCTTCAGGACCACCTCTCCTGGTATACCCCCTGAAGAGCCTTATGCTCAGTAGATAAGAACTTACTGCTGGTCCCCAGCCCGAGAGACATCCAGCTATCCTCGACCAGAGCCAGGGCTTTTCCCACCCTGGTGGAATTCTGTGCTGAATAACATCCATGCCCTGCAAGACTTAATGCAGTTCCGTAGGACTTGTAAGGCAGAGATGTTCCACCAGGTGTTTGGTTGAGGACAGTGACGGTTCCCATCTGGCTGGCACTCCCGTCCTTTGTCTGGCTGGTACTCTTACCTTTGTCTCCCGCATGAGGCAGCGTCACAACCGAAGTCTAGTGCCTTCTAATTAGTTTAACTAATGTATTTATTCTTTTAATTAATGTTTTTATTGGTTTTAACTATGAAATTATGTATGGTTTTTGTTTTGTTCCACACCGCCCTGAGCTCTGTTCCACAGGGAAGGGCGGTATAGTAACCGCATTTAATAAAATAAATAAACAAATAAATAGAGGTGCAGTTGTAGCCTTTGCTGCTGATAAATAATAATTTTATACACCCCTGCCCAAAAATGAATCCAACACATAGTAACATAAAACACTTACAAATAGCTATTTATAAACTTAAGAGAACGTGGAAATGACATTTTAGTACAAGTGTGACATAATGTGGATCCTATATTCATGTGCCAATTTGGTGCACTAAGATCTGTGTAATCAGTTTGCAAAACTATAGGAAGTAAATCACACAATTACCCAGAAGCAGGCTTTTTCTGAGAAATTCTGCTTGGAGGCTGGGGAGGAAGTGGGGGTGGCGTAGGTTTGGATTGTAGTGCAGCTGGCTGTTTTGATTGGTGGCTCAAAGCTTCCAGCACACTGGCTGTCTTCACAACTGGAGGTGGTGCTGAAGAAAGGATACCTAGAAAAATGCACATGGTGAATGCTGGCATGCTTAAAAAGTACTCCTCCAAACACTTTTCCAATGAAATAAGTCAGTATTTTAAAAAATGTTACACTCTGAAATACAGTTCAAAATGTGGGAAATCCTCCCTTTGTACAAAAATCTAAGTAGCAAACCAGTCTGCCCTTCAAACACAGATGTGGTACATTCTACATGCTGGGGTGCAGGCTGTGGTTCATGCCACACCCCCAGAGAATGCTTAGTATGAGCCAATGCCCCTTGTGAACACATTTATATATGAGTAGGACTTCTACATTATGGAACAGGCTGCCTGAAGCTATCAGGAAGGCTCCTACACTGCTGCCGTTTCACAAAATGTACAAAACAGAACTGTTCAGGAGGGCATTCTTGTAAAGGCAGCAAAACTGCACTGTAATGGTTCAGTTCAGGTGGTGAATTTTATTATATATAATGTTTTTCCTACACTGATGGTCTTGAGGCCTTAAACTGCCTTATGTTGGCTTGCATTGTTCTCTCCTCCCCCCCCCGCTGTTCTACCATCCCAGCCCAACTGCCTTATTTTGTCTTACTAGGTATCCTTGCTGTTAAGACTCAAATGTCATTGCCGTACCTTGTAATCAGCTTACTGACTCACTAGTTTTAATCATACTCATAACTCACCTTGTCTCACTGAAAAAAGTGGACTTAATAACAACAACAATCTATATATTCCACCCACAATGAACAAAGAGGTGTGAATGGACTGCAGGGTATAGTTCATTTTTGATTAATGTATTTAATGAAAAACAAAGAAGTAACAATCACTGCTACAGCCTGGATTCCTTGCTAAGCTACCCAACGGCATCCTTTCCACACAAGTGTGGGGACAAGCCACAGATGCTCAACTAACCAGCTGGCAAAGCAAACTTTGAAAGTACGTCCACCAGAGAGGAAGGAGCATGGAGTAGTGAAAATGGAAAGCTGAGGTCAACCATGATTAGATGCAGAAAAG